TTCTTTCGTGTGCATTATATGCTTTAGTCTCAACATGGTTGTATGATGATAGAAGTCAATTAATGGGATTCATGGGGGTTATTCATGTAAAGTATTGATGACAAGTCATGCTCTTCTCATTCTGTTCTGTTCAATAATACCAAGAAAAATACCAAAAAAATTCTTGCTTTTTTCGTTCTTATCGACTTGATCATAAAAAAAATGACAGTCAGATGCAACGAGGTAACATATTGCCGCATATCTAAACACATTTCTTCTTTTGTCAGTCGTTGATAACGCAAAAGAATAATATGTAAGTACAATAGTAGGTCTCTCATCATCTTGTGCAAAGGGTTCACTATTATAAAACGTAACTTCCAGCATCTGCAGTTGTCGAAAACTGATCATATCATGATTTTCTGCATTTTCGTATATCAAATTTACACTTGTTATAGAAAGGAAATCACATGAATCTTATATGCAATTTTTGTGGGGTGTGTCGAACAGAATACTCACGAAATGTAATTTACAACCGCTGTTTGAATGTGTTCATGAGATCACATGTTTTTCTTTCTAATCAACGCTATTTAAAACATCGTTCGAGCGTTTTTCGTTCTTTTCAAACACAATTTAGGAGTAATACCGATGATAACCATCTTTCATTTTTATTGTCTCCTTTTTTATGTATTTATAACTCCTCTTACTATGTTCTGTTCCTTTAACAACAAAATTGATGCATTGTAAAAATAATTACCTATTTCTTCTGTTTCTTGTATGTTTGAGTTGAAGAAAATCTCAGATATATGTAATATTTTTATTGAATAAATATCGGTTTTTCAACTTGTAACTAAAAAAGTTCCTTTGGATAAATTTCAATTGTTCTGTTACAATTTTCAAAACTAGCTATCTGACAGATAATGTGATTAGACATGAATGACACTTGCGCATATCTGAGGAATGTTGAGTTTTACTCAAGAAAATTTAGTGAAAATATATGGTATACAAAAGGATATACCTGAATGTTTGTGCCAGGATTTTTGCAGATGAGCCAAAGACATAGTTTCGTTCTTTTTCCATTCGTTCATTCATATTAATTATTTTTATATATTTGCACTGTTCAGTTGTTCGTTTCCCACTTAGTTCTTCGCTGAAAATGCTCTCAGATTTCGCGAAAGATATATCGTATTCAGTGCAACAAGTCTCGAAATATGCTACACACACTGTGGATCTTTCTAGAAATCTTTAGAATTTTCGACAAAGAAATCGCTGACAAATGAGTAATAGAATGACGTAAATATGACAAAATAATTAATATGGATACGCGAAAAGAAGAAGGACTTTGGTAGGAAATAAAATGCGTCATTATTACTAATGAAACGTATCGCAAATTACGCTTTTCTCAACGGCTTGTTTGCATTTTTTTAATGGAAAAAAATGCGTTCAAATGCAGACGTCCCCAAATTATTTTTCATGGGTATAGTCTTTTCTATATTTGCTTCTTGTTATATCCTAGATCGAAAAAAAATTCAGCTATACTACGTTGGATGATCCTATTTAATTGATATAGAAGTCAATTTTCGATGAAATTCCAACATGACAATTCTTTCATTGAAATCCTTTCTGGATTACCATGTGAAACACACTGGAACCACCGTATAACCATGGCAGAGAAGTATGTGAGTGAGTGTGTGGTTGAATAAAATATCTGTAGGCATCCGCATTAGGCCACGAAAAGTTTTGGGTTCCTGTTTACAAGATGAAATATGATCCAATGAAGTTTTGGAATTAGATAGTTATCTGATTGAATATTTTTGTTATGAGTACAATTTGATTGTAACGATAAGAAAATATTTTTGAAAATTTCTATACCAAAACGCTTAACAGTTTGAGTATTACTATTAGAGTCATAAGTGAATATTCGATCTATTAAAATTCGTTTGCATAACATATTTAAGGGACAACATACAACTTCCAAAGTTCGAAAACAAATCGTGGCCCGCTTTGGTCGGCAAACCAGTCGATGAGGTCGTTGAAGAAATCAAACGAGACAATCCAAGTAAGACGATATCTTAATGCTATCATAAGTTTTGCTTCACTGCACGAATAGAAAAACGAATTTCTCTACATTAGTACCATTAACATGTTATTTCAATTGTCTTTGTTCTTTTCATATTACTTTAGGTTTCAACGTGGTGAAAGTTCCAGATAACTCACCCGTGACGTTAGATTTTGGATTCAATCGTATTCGTGTTTTCTATAACACGAATGGGAAAGTTTCACAGACTCCACATGTTGGCTGAGCATCAGAACTATAATACGAACAACTATAAAAGCCTCGATTTTTTCCATTTCTTAGTTAGATGATGGAGAATGATGATAAAGTCAGTCAAGTAATCATTTTGTTTGAAGTAAGAGCTGTGATTTTCAAGAATAAATCAATGAATAAAATATAACAAAACCGATGAGTCAGAATTAAAAGAGTTCGTCTATCATTCAATCAGTTTGCTTACTGATCAATTTCAGGTTTCAATCGATACATTAAATCGGTTCTTATCAGACATTTGAACAAATATTTTTTTTTACCTTTCGGATTTAAACATCGCGTACAATCAGCATCGATATCATTCAAATAAATATTAATTGTCATAAAGTTTCGTTCGTTACCTGAACGAGTACAGTGTGAGTCACGATGTGCATCAAAGACATCACCCCAGCCGTAACAACAAAATCCAAATATCTCGTTCTAGCCGAGGGGTTTCCATGCACTATCATAGTAATTGATATACACAATCATATCGTCACACTCTTACTCTCAACATGGATGAAGAGAAAAATATATTTATTCTACATTTTTTTTTAATAATAAGTCTTCCATAGAAGCAAGAAAAAGGTTGCCTTGAGCCTTTATCAAATGCAGAAAACAGTTTTTCAGTGAGACCGTTGAAAGGCAGTCATGTGTGGTTCTGATCATAGAAGAAGCATCAGTCTGATTAGGTGAAATCAGTAGCAATAGTGCATACGACCAATTTTTCACACTTGCGGCTTACATATTCTCCAGAAGATAACATCCTAAAATTTTTGCTATACTAATCGAGATAGACTTAGCCCGAAAGTTAAAGAAAGTTCTGTCGAGATGTTCGCGAAAAATGTTAGTATGACGGTACCATACATACGAAAATAAGTAGAGAGTCCCTGTTTTTGCTTTGTACATCGTCTCTTACAACTTCCTTAACACTTGCCACGTTATTTTTTTATAGTGCACTAGACCTTGAATAGTACTTTTAAGAAAAAAAAATTAGTTTAATCGGTTTGGCTAGGCTGTAAGACGGTAGACTTCAAGTATATGTTCTATATGGAGTTTCCTTTTTATCCTCATTAGTGCATAACAATGATGGTTCGACAGATCGGCTTTAAACTTTCAGAGAAAGTTCTCCTACTGTTTCTTATTGTTCTGTGACCTTTTCAGATATATAACACTCACTAGAGAGAAATGACAGTATTCGGAATATAGGTGTGGGGTATGGGTGCTGATGAAGAAGTCTCACATCCTCACCCTCCAGAGGTTCTACGGAAATCACAGGTCTAAGAACACTTTTTAGTCAGCTGTAGAAAAACTAACCAATGGAATAGGATCAAGCCTCATCATGACGTACTGTAAATCGATAAGAAAAAGTCAATGTTACTGAGGGAGAAAAATGCTCTTATCTGCGCTTGGTCATTCTGATTCATTTTTTCATGACTATTTGAAGAAGAGAATTTTATATTTGAAGAAGGTTATCAGAGTTTAAAATTCTGAAAGCGACATATAGAAAAGAAACTGAATACTCAAGCAATAACAAAACGAACGTAGTAACACATCTATAAAGTCTACAATAATCAAGAGAAAGTAAGAGAACAAGTAATACTTGCTTTTGACGGATACGAGTAAAACATTTATTGAGACACATTTGAATAGAGACTGAGAATTTTTATAATTTGGTTGATTAGCAGCGACCACGAAAGTGGGGAAGGGGTGTAGAGGGTGTATACCTCCCCATAATTGAAAATTTTGAACTTTTTAACTATGAAAAAATACGAGACGACTTTTTAATAACTGAGGTATAGGCTGTTGGAGAAAAATAATCTTCGAAGTGAGTTTTCAAGATCCTATTGTGTCGCATTCTTAAAAATTTTTGCTTCGCGCATCAGGCTATGTCAGAAAGTTTTGATTAGATGAAGGGTTTACATTTCGGTTTTCCATATGAAATACATTGTCAAGTTTTGGTTCAAATTTCAACATAGGTAATGGCTGAAAGCGTAACCCCTTTTAGCCGCAAAATATATATAGAATAAAATATTTCCTCTTTTGTCTCTCATGAAACCGACTTCTTATTCCAATAAAATATGCATTCTGTAGGGTTTCGTGTTAAATACAGCCTCCAAATGCTGCTTCCTGTGGCAGCATGTTCTTCTGAAACAAATACTGAATTGATATCTTTAGCAAAGCCATTTTGTTGCCAGAAAATACTGATTGTCGCAAGCAAAAAAAATATTTGTTGCCGCGTGTCACTCCAAAAAGTCACGCATGAAAAAAATAACGGAAAATGATTTTTGCATTTATGGCAAAAAATTTTTACGCCACCTCTGCGTTTGCAGCTTAAGTCCCTTCCTATTAGTCTTCAAGCGATTTTTCGACGTACTCAATTCTGTCAAAAATTCTTGAGACATTTACACCTCTCCCCAATCTTAGAACCTTCGCGCGGCCACTGCTAATAAATGAGACTTTTTTCTGAATGAAAACAAGTCGAGCTGGACCAAAAATATAATATCAAAATAGATTTTACGTCAGTGAAGACTATTTGGATATGTGACATAGTATTACTGCCGAAGTGATCAACACTCTCGACTTGTCTATGGTTTTAACAGATTAGTGGTTCTCTGCAGTTGCCTACTTTTAAATACATATATATCGTCATCAATCATGCAGATTGTCTTCATATTCACTCGTAAGTTTCATGCAATATAGCTTATAGTTCACATTTATGCGTTTTTCAGTCAGTATATTGTGCAGTTTCTGGCCTTTGATATGGGCCACGATTAGTCCATGCGCGAAGTGGAACACATCAGGTGTCACAGTAGTCGGTAAGGGAGTAGGAAGTATATCTGACAGCTTCCATGATCAACTTTATTTACCTCGAAGTATTTTTTTCCACAAAAAATCAAATACATTGTACGTGTCTGATGCTGGACGCGTTCAAACATTTCCACTAAATGGATCATCGGCTGCAGGAAGTACTCTAACAATGAAGTCAGTTGTAAGAAGGATCTTTGTGGACGACGATGATGGTGGTCCAACACTATATGCCACCGTAGTTGATTTCGATGGTGGTCACGTCGAAAAATGGGCTTATGGAGCATCACACGGAGTACAAGTGGGGGATCAATGTCAAGATTGTATGGGTGTTTGGGTTGATCAAGAAAAAAATGTCTACATGACTGAATACTTTCAACATAGTGTACTAAAATGGTCGCCTCAAACAAATACTACAACAATCGTGGCCGGCCGAACAAACCAGAGCGGATCGACAGGCGAATATCTCGCATTTCCCAATGACATCTATGTCGATGCAACAGAAAATGCAGTCTATGTATCGGATCTCGGCAATCAACGGATTCAAAAGTGGACGAAAGGTGCTCGAGAAGGGATTACAATCGTGGGACCAAGTAAGATTACTGAAAATAATAATTCTGCATGGCTTAAGCCAAATAGTATATGGATTGATGAAGAAACTAATGTTATATTTGTCGCTGATGGACTTTACAGTGGAATAAAACGGTGGCTACCTAACGCATCAACAGGAGAAATCATTGCTGGTGGCTTTGGTATGTTAAGACAGAGTTTTATCTCAGCAAAGAAATATGAGCTCTAGTAGTTTTCGATTCGAACGAGTTATCTATTCTGTCATGCTGAGAGAGCACATAATAAATAGTAAAAATTGAGGACGAAGAAATGGCAAAAAACTTCATGAAGATGAACTCGTTTTGACATATTTGCTTGTTTTAAAGAATCTTCTTTATGTTATTATGATGATTATCAACAGGTTTCGGCAATGCGGCGAATCAGTTCTCCGGGCCAATGGATATCGCATTTGACAACCAAGGCAATCTATATGTATGCGATTTGTTTAATCACCGAATTCAAATGTTTGCTCTGATTGACAATCAAGAATGTCCTCCAACATCAACAGGTAATGACTTGCAATGCTTAATCATTCATTTATGCCATTTATCAATCTCTATTATTTGTTCTACTCATTAGGAAGTTCATCGATGCACATGTAAGTAGAAAGCCAAGGTACAGATATATATAACAAGAAAATCTATGTCATAGAATGATATTAATGGTGGTAATATCTATGTTTGTACAATGGATCAGTATGCAACAATTTTAACACCATCGATTTGCTGACTCTGCATCGATTAAAATAAAAGCTCGTGAACATTTATCTTTATTTAAAAATATATTATTTGCATTTTGACATCGTACTCGTTATTACCTTGATGATAAGACAAGCAGTTTCAAAAAAGAATGGGATATGGGTGTGGGTATGGATGTGGGCGTATTTGTGAATGAAAAGAGTATTTATTCCAACACCCATACCCACACCCACTCTTTCCAGCTATTTCATCTGTTTCGACCAAGATACTGACAAGTTAAATGTCGAAGAGGTGAGGTATATGAGAAAGTATAGAAATAAGTTCATTAATATCACAATCATAGTTGAGGATTAGATGTTCAATAACACTAAATTTTTCATTGATCGAAATGGGTATGAAGATACTAACTTCATCAGAATGAAACGATGACATCTTGTGAAATCTCAAACAAGGTAAACGAAAAATTATTCGATATGTACCATTGATATTGTAGTAATAGTCCATGGCAAGTTCAATGGTCAATGAAATGAGACGAGGAAGAGAATACAGATAAGAAAAAATCATTAGAAGTTTGTAGTCTGAAAGTCCATTAAGAATAACTGGTTCAAGATAATTGAAGAACGAATCAACTTTACAACGAGTAAAAAGCTTATCAATGAATGAAGCACTTTTTAAATGAAGTGAAAGAATTCGATGTTTATGTGTCAGGCAAATTTGGTATTCAGGCAAAATTGAACTTATGATCAAACTTTTTCTTTTGAAAATAAAGGATATGATTTTGCCTAGTCAAAATTAGCTCTGTGCATAATTGAGATTAAAGAAAGAATTGATATATAGGCTTCGATATTCTTCATAATTTTTTTTTTGATTACTATAGTATTTTATCAAAAAAACATTATGAGTTTGTTTGAGTATAGATGTGGCAGGTGAGTTTGGAATTTAGTTTCGATGATGGGGACATGGGGACATTGACAATTAGTGAGATTTTATTTTTCACCAAATTTTTTTTCGTTTACACAAAAAATTTGTATTTTTTTTCGATGATGAGGACATGGGGACATTGATGATTGATGGGATTCTATTTTTTTTCATCGATTTTTTCTCTCGCTTACAAAAAAATTTGTATTCTTTTTCGATGATGGGGACATGGGGACATTGATGATTGATGAGGTTCTATTTTTTTTTCATCGAATTTTTCTCTCGCTGACAAAAAAAATTGTATTCTTTTTCGATGGTGAGGACATGGGGACATTGATTATTGGTTAAATTGTATTATGAGTAAATAATTTTTTATCTACAGTATCTGTATGCCCTGTTTTGATGAAAATGGATTGACGTGGGGTGATTGTCTAAAAGAATCGAATGTTTCTCGAGCAAGCGATGAAAATGGGTTGAGATGGGGAGACTGTCTAAAAGAAAGAAAATTTTCTACGCCATGCTGTGGCTTGTCTGATAAACATCGTATATGTCTTCGTATAAAAGAACAGGTTTAACTTCTTTAAAATCACATAAAAGTTTATGACCAGCGGTAAGAGGAAGCGCGAACGTTTGTTTGCACCAGTGAGAAAAACGACCGGAAACCTTTTCAGTAGATAGCTTGTTCTGAAGTACATTGACTATTTTTTTGCTTTGAACACGAGTGATAACAGCTTTATTACGAAATTTAGGATTTAACGCATCAATATGTTTTTTAGCAAGTTCGTAAAATTTTTCACGTGCAAAATCATTGATAATAGAATGAGAATAAGTTGATTGTTGTAATGTCATTGTTGATATTGCAAAAGAAAATATCGAAAGCTATTCAACACTCAATGAACTTTGTTTATGAAAACGAAAAAAATTGGTAGTTAGATGATATAAAATAATCACGAACAGAGAATGAATTCTGCCTAGTCAAAATTGAATTTGATAGAAGCGCCAAAAAAAACCAATTTTGCCTGAAATTCAAATTTGCCTGTGACACATATATTTGTTTCTCCAAGATGCTAAGTTAGCTAGTTTAAAATACATCAGATTATTATTAAAAACAAAATGTTTAGAAAATTTATCTAATCGAGTACAGGTCTAAGATTAAACGTGCACATGCATAGACATAATGATATCGTATCGTTGTACTAAATAGTATATAAATTATAAATATAAGGATACGAGTATAATACTACATAACTAAGTGCACAGAAATAAGCATGCAAGAAAGAACACAAGAATTATAGCATAGATACGAGTCGATAAGCATAAGAGTATATGGATAAGCCACATAGGTATAGGTTTTCGGCAGTTACAAATATGGAATTATAAGACTGGATATATATGGCTATAGGAACAAGAGTACACATATAAGAATATGAACATAAAAGCATCCTAGATATGAAGATATAGGAATAAGGATATATATAGATATAAAATAGTATGCAGATATAGACAAAGATATAGAACTTTACGAGTAACAACATAGGTGTAAAGATGTTAGGATAATAGTACCCTCGACTAATCACAAATAAATTCCAAATGATCATGATGCATTACATTGCCTATGTTGTCTACAGAACTTATTTAACTGCCCTATCGAATGTTTAACAACACATTTAGCTATAAAACAGAGTTTCTAATGGGTCAGCTCATATTAGCTCATGAGCTGACCCTTTCGTAGCTCTTATATGAAATTAAAAAATGATGAAAATCTCACGTTTTAATGCGTTAAAGTATCCGATACCGTAAAAACCCCGTTTAAATTTATATAGCGTTCATAACGCGTTTAAATGTGCGGTTTTTACGAATTGGAACGCGTTTGTTTTGGGCCCGTTTTTACGCGTTTTTTTTTTATTTTGTCTGACTGGGAAATGAGTTTGAATCATGTTTGTATTAATATCGTATTACTTTTAGCATATAAAACTAGAAAAAGTATTTCATGAGCTACAATATATCGTTACTGAAAATTGAAAATCATAGATCTAATCTCAGTATTTCAAAATAATTTTGAAAACAACAGAAACTATTATACGCAATCGAAATTTTTCTATGAGCCCACTGAAGAAATACAATCATCATTGCCTATAATATTTCATACACAAATACACAGCAAATTCACTTCAATTTAAAACATTTTGTTCATCTAGAAAAGTAAGAATTCTAGGCCATAAAACCTCCGAAGAGCATTCACAACAAGTTTTGAAGCTGAACCACAGAGCCAATTTCTACATAAATGTTATTTTCATTAATGACCTAATCATCTGCTTAAAGTATATTGATGTGAAAAAGCGATAAAATGTTCACATCGAGTAACTCACTCTAGGATCAAGTGAATCAATCGTCGATAAGCATTACTTGTTACTAATGGAAATATGTGAAATTCAAATAGTGTTGATGAAATATGGTCATTTGTTTCACATAAATGAGAACCTATAATCTATTACTTAATCGTATTCCAAATAATATTTATTAAAAAGAAAGTTAAAAAAAATTGCCACAAAGTCATAATTGTTTTTCATGTAAGCTAATCCTTCCCAAACCTCGAGTAGAAACCATGGATATACGTTAATATACAGGTTGATGAATTGAACAAGTTGTTGAACATCCCGAAAAACAATGAATACTAAATAGAAATAAGTGAATATTGATTTTCATTTTTTTGTTCTTCTCGTCATTATTTTTTTTTGTGGAAAACTATTGCCAATAATAAACATTTAATTAACAAAAAATCTAGTTAATTTCTTGTTCATGTGAAATGATTAACGTTTTAATATTCATGTGAACATCGTATCTCATTCAAAAATGTTTTAAATCTAGTACAAGCAACATCATCATCATTCTAAGATGAAAGACATCAGATCAGACTAAAAACTTTAGCACAAATCAACTTTTCTGATTTGTTCATGGAAGAATTTTCTTTTTCAATATTATTGCGTTTGTCAAAATTGTAAATCTAATCATAAATGTCTTAGAACATAGTTTTATTTTTTCCTCTTGATGTTATAAAACAAGAAAAAATACAGGATGAAGCAACAGTACAGCACAATAATGAAGAGAAAAAAAAGAAACAACAAAATATGATCATTATTCTTGTGTTACATTCATAGTTCTTGTCAAATGACTACTGATGAACTAAAAATCATACGACAAAAAGTAGGAACAAAAAGTTGTGATAGACAAACAAAAATAAAAGTTCATTATGGAGCGATACCACGTTCTAAATAAAACAAAATGAATAATGTTAATTTTTAGACAAAAAATGCAGAGTCAGTCAATGGTATTGACTTACCATTAAGAAGCTTTATTTTTTTTGCTTCTAATACTAGTCGAGCAAGAGCATCTTTTACCAACCGATCCAGATCATTTTGTGTTATATTTTCCTGATTTTCACTTTTTTCATAAATTTTCATTTTAAATGAATCAATTTCATTGATTAGGGCGACGGTTTCTTGTAACTAAAATTAATCAAGTTTGATAAACAATCATGGGAATGTAATAATCATGCAATTATAAATGTTATTTT